TGCCGCTGAGCATTCCAGGAGTTCCAAGAAACGGAAGTTCAAGCCCTGAAGTTTGAAAAATGGTGAAGCAACATGCAATTTATGTGTACTTACCTTTATCAATGCCCACCATTCAGTTTACAGTAAACCTGACCTGATGGAGAGAAATGGATGCCATTTCCTGATTCAGCAGTGCAAAAATACCCTAAATCAGTTGTAGAAATCTAGACAACATTCAAAAATTAAAAAATTGTTGCCCAGTGTAATCTTTGCAGTACAGGTCACTTTCCCTGCATGAGAAGACAGGCTCTGGTGGATTGAGTGGCTGAGAACAATAGTGAATCCAACGGTCAAGAAGGGGATTTCTAAACATGCTGAGGGAAGTGAGTGGCAGATGGGGCTCGTCAACCTGGGAAGGTAGTCCTGAACCTCCACTGCCTTGCGGGATATATTTGGGAGAAGAAAAGGCTAAGGAGTAAACCCTACACAAAACTGGAGTGGAGTCCCTAAGACAGTTGGATGGCGACTCCTTCTGGCCACTCCTGCAGCCAAGCTGGTGCCAAACATAATGTTCTGCTTTTCTTTGGACCACATTAGTGATGCCAAGAGGGGGGTCTTGTCATCTGGGCAGCCCAGGACCTTCATACACACTGCCCAGGCTTGCACCTTGGGGAGGTCACTTTGATGCTGCTAATGCAGCAGTTTGATTTCACCCGCAGTGGCACACTCCATTGTCTCTCGAGACATATAGATGCCAACAACGGGTCACTGGCGGATGGGTAAAGATCAACAGGGGAACAAAGGAGCCCAGGAAGATGTCTCATACCAAGTCAGATTATGGGCCCATCTAGCGCAGTACTGTCAACCCTGACTGGCAGCAACTGTCCAGGATTTCAGAAAGGGGTCATTCTCAGCCCTACCCAGAGATGCCAAAGATTTGAACCTGGGACCCTTTCTTGAACACAAAGTGGATACTGCAGCCACAGCCTTTCCCCTGCATCTATTTATTTGGTCCACCTAACTCAGGACTGACTGGAAGTGGTTCTCCAGATTTCAGAGAGGGCTTTCTCTGGGCTTTCCCAGAGAGGGCTTTCCCAGAGAGATCCTGGGTACTGAACCAGGGAGTTTCTTGCCTGGTGCTGAGTCGCCTCCTGCCTAAGAAGAGTTTGTGGAGCAGATGGTATGAGGTGTGGGACACATCAGGGCTTCAGAACAGAGGTCCTCCCCACTGCACACTCATTTAAAATCATAGAAGTTGGGTAAAAAATGGCCGTAACTCAGGAGCAGAGCGTTTGCTTTGCAGGTAGAAGGTCCCAGGTGCAAATCCTTGAATCTCCCAGTAGGATTGCAGATAGACTTTCACCTGAAACTGGCCGGCCAGTGTAGATAATACTGAGCTTTATGGACCAGCGGCCTGACTCAATTTAACAGTTTCCTATTTAATCAGACGCGGGTGGCGCTGTGGGTTAAACCTCAGCGCCTAGGACTTGCCGATCGCATGGTCGGCGGTTTGAATCCCCGCGGCGGGGTGCGCTCCCGCTGCTCGGTCCCAGCGCCTGCCAACCTAGCAGTTCGAAAGCACCCCCGGGTGCAAGTAGATAAATAGGGACCGCTTACTAGCGGGAAGGTAAACGGTGTTTCCGTGTGCTGCTCTGGTGCCGGTACGCCAGAGCAGCTTCGTCACGCTGGCCACGTGACCTGGAAGTGTCTGCGGACAGCGCTGGCTCCCGGCCTCTAGAGTGAGATGTGCGCACAACCCTAGAGTCTGTCAAGACTGGCCCGTACGGGCAGGGTTACCTTTACCTTTACCTATTTAATCAGAAGTTCATTCAGTATGCTGAAAAGAAAAGAAAAGAAAAGAAAAGAAAAGAAAAAGTCCCTGCTGCAGAATGCAAACTGATGATGATGATGATATTCCTCTGGTTTTTGAAGCCTTTGATGTCTCCCCCACCCCACCCCCACAAATATAAAAGGTCCAAAGAGCAAGGGAGCACAAAACACAAATTAATTCTTCTCTGCCGAACACACTTGGATCAGAAACAAGAGCTAAAAATAGCTCTGATCCTCTGGGAATAAGACAGAGGTGCCCTGGACATTTTGCTGCACTGATTAAGTAAATTAAACCTGAGATGCTAAGAAGGAAAGGACAGAAAATTCACAACTGGCCACGCTGAAGAATGGGCAGGCAGGGAGCTGTTTATGAGGAGAGAAGTCCACTAAATGGTAGCATAACAGAGGCATTTCTGTACACGTTACACGACTGGAAAAGGGCTGATTACGAAGGAGAATTGGGCTTGAGTTCTGTGTGCTGGGTTGAGAACTGCAAATTAGGTAATTCCTGATTGAAATGCAAACAAATTCCTTCCCCATCCCTGCTTATATTGTTAAGATAACATTTGCTTTCCTTAGTGGCTAGGGTTATTCCCCTCAAATAGCCCTAAGATTCACTTTGAATTTTCACGGTGAGTGAAATTTGGTGGCAACCCTAGATTTGGGTCATAAGGTCTCATTGCTTGGAAAGTTTCTTCTCTAACCTTAACAAACAACCCAGCCACTGCTGGTGAACACCCACAATGCAGCTTTAATATTTTTCTATGAAACAGTGGCATATACATATTTTTTTAAAAAAATAATATGAATAATAACCACTTGCATTGATGTGCTCCCTGGGTCCCAGACAGGAGGCACAGAAACTTCCATATGCAATTTTATACAAACTCTTTCTGCTTCCTTTGAAATGCATGGGACATTTTCATCCCTGGGCAGAAACCTCAAAACTCAACGCAGAATTTCACTGTGAAAGTGAAATTCCCCAGTCGCAGCCCTCAGCGACGCAAGTCACCCTCTTTTGACAACCATTTTACCGGTTGCCAATGCATATGGCAACAAAGGCTGCATTATGTCTGAGCGGAATGTTTGGCTTCTTTGGACAGCGATTGTTACGGACCTCATCGCAAAGGCGTTGCTTTCTCATCGTCTGAAAAAGCAGCTCCCGAAAGCTGTGCGGGGAATGAGCGCAATGCAATGGGAACATTTGTTTTGTTTCGGATCGTGAGGGGTAGCTGCTCTCCTTCTTGAACTGAGGCTGACAAGCGAGAGAATGATGAAGGACAGGATTTTCTGAACACCCTCCTGTGCTATCTTCGCATAACTTTGGATTTGCAAGGTTATCAGCAGGGGGCCGTGACTTCAGCGATGACCTCATTAAGTTGGCGTGGCCACGTCAGCACCTTTCCAGAGGCTGGAGCACTCATCATGTGTCAGGGCAGCGCTGGGCAGAGGGAGTCTTCCCATTGACACCTTCTCAGCCAAGGAGATTTGTCTCTTCTTATCTCCCGTGGAGAGAGGTCCCCAACTGGGAAAAAGAGGAGCTTGGTGTCTCGGAATGCAGTTCAGAGACAAGTTCAGCGACACCAGCTGACCGGAGAAGATTAAGCTAACAGTCTGTGAAAGTGAGGGAAATTATAAATGGGTGCCCCCACCCCGCCCCGCACCTCCTGACAACACATTTACTTACAGCTGCTATAATTCGGGAATCGTTCCTATAATTTCAAACAAAACCTCGCAAGTTCCCCTCCCGACACACACCCCAAGCAGGGGCTCTTTTTAACCCTCCTCTCAGGCAATGTGACGCGAGCAAAGTTGAATCTGTTTAATTTGCCCAAAATACAGTCTTTATTCTCTCAGGGTTGGGGTGGGATGACAAGGCACTCCCCAAAGGTCCTTTTTTTTCTTCTCCCCTTCCTTTTTTTGAGCATGGAACAACAACAAAAAAAATATTGCTCATTTGCACCTATTATAGGTTGGACACTGGAAAGAAAAGGCCGCTCTTAAACAGCTGGAGTGCCGCGTGAAACGATGCCAGGCCTTCTTACCTTAGTGAGGATCTTGTTCCAAAAAGTGCTCTCTTTTTTTGTGAAAGCTATGTTTTGCAAGAAAAATGGCCCATTTAAGTGGCAGAAGCTGTGCATTCTCTTCTGGGGAAACAAAAGAGGGCTCAGCGTGGCACTGAGTCACGCATTGGGGTAAGGCTGGCTTTATGTCACTGCCACATATATTTTTCGGAGAGGAACGGGGAACAATGAGCCCCCTTCACCAGTCATAACCCTCCCCACCCTCCTCCTTTTTCCTATCACAAACAGGCACTGGGCATAAATATTAACTTCAGTTCAGCTGCTTTATGCTAGCTCCCCCCCCTTTTTTTGTCAAAAGCATAAATGCAATCACTCAGAATCTTACAGAACACAATGTCCAGGAAGAGACATGGGGCTAACCTGACAGCATAAGCACCCCTAGCAATTGGCCTAGGCGGCAACAATTTTAAAGGCAGTGTTCAAATGGGGGAGAACCCCCATCCAGCTCCTTTGCAATATTGCAGAGGACATACCCTCCAGTGTTTCACAGATGAGAACAAGATGCTCCTGCTTGTGTGGCAGCCCCCCATGCTCTGTCTGAACACCTGCTTCCCCACTTACGCATTGCTGCATGACTTTCTCCACCAACCGGGGTAGCTGGTGCCTGATGGGACTGGTGGGGCAGAAGGGCAGGAGCCCGACAGTAGGTGGCGCCAGAGCCAACGACAGGCAGATCCAACCCTTCCGCCCTACTGAGTCCAACAAGTGCAACACTGGTCTGGTGTAGAGAACCCTATACAGCTTGGGGCCAGAATGCCTAAGAGGCAATCTAATACAGTGGCACCTCGGGTTATATACACTTCAGGTTACAGACTCTGCTAACCCAGAAATAGTACTTTGGGTTAAGAACTTTGCTTCAGGATGAGAACAGAAATTATGCAGCGGTGGCAAAGGGAGGCCCCATTAGCTAAAGTGGTACCTCAGGTTAAGAACAGTTTCAGGTTAAGAACGGACCTCCAGAATGAATTAAGTTCTTAACCCAAGGTACCACTGTATACCCAAGCAATCTTTGCACTGATGCCATCTCATCAGAAGGTCCAGTCCATATGATATAGGAAATGGGCCTTCAGTGTAGTGGCACTAAGCCTCTGGAGCTCTGTCCTGCAGCACTCCATGATAGCTCAGTTGGTAGAGCTTGAGATTCTTGATCTGAGGGTCGTGGGTTTGATCCCGATGTTGGGTGAAAGATTCCTGGATTGCAGGGGTTGGACTAGATGAATCTCGGGGTACCTCCCAACTCTACAATTCTATGGTTCTCTAGTATTCTATGACACACCGGACAGGCACCTTCTCCGTGGTCTTTCTGCATAATATTTCTTATAAAGTTTTCAATTTTACATTTCAAAATAAACATTTTACAAACTTTAAAATATCCAGTAACTTCTCTTCTTCTCCTTCCATGGTTCATTTCACATACCATACATTCCTGCATATTTTACTGCAACCATTCAAATCAGTTTGTCACTTTCACATCAATCAAATATTATTTACACTGTTGAATTTGTTTTAATGCTGCCAGCATTTTCAGCTGTGTACAGTTATCTTCCACATATTCAATAAATGTTTTCTACTCTAAATATATGTTCTTCTTGCTCTCTTATTCTGTGTGTTAGATCTGCAAGTTCTGCATGTTCTGTGCACTTAAGTTGCCAATCCTCTTTAGTCTCTATGGTCTTTCTGGGACTCACCAAAGACCTTCTGTTTCCAACAAGCCTTTCCCGCGAAGATTTTTCCCCATTCCAGTTCGTTTCTGTGTTGGACTTGAAATTGTTTTTATATGTGAAACGATTTTAATTACTTTCATATCTGAAACTGTTTCAATGTGTCTTTATATGCAAACATGTTTTCCATGTGCATTTATCGTGAAATGAGATGTTTAGCGGGAAGTGATTCATAATTGGTGCCTACGTTCTGCCTCTGCTCAGAGGCAGTAAACCCCCAAATCCCAGTTGCTGGAAACTCACAGGTGGGGACAGTTGCCCTTGTGCTCAGGTCCTGCTTGCAGGCTTTGCATAAACATCTTATTGGCCACTGTGAGAACAGGATGCTGGACCAGATGAGCCACTGGCCAGATGAGCCACTGGCCCTTTGCTGGATACGGCTCATGAAAATTTGTGTGGCCTTAAAATATTGCTAAGTATATCCTTCCCCCCCCCCCCGGATTGGAGAGGGATTTTTTTTTAAGTGAGTATCAAAAATGAAAGATCCTGCATGGTCACTCTCAGGTTGACACCTCATCTGAATATGAACCTGAGAGACTAGGGCCCTGTGGGGCTTGACATCTTTCCGCAGGACCTGTAAGACAGAGCTGTTCCACCAGGCCTTTGGCCAAGACATAGTCTGACGCCCTCCTTTGGCATTCCTCATAGAACTCTAGCCCAATGGTTGCCATTAATTTGATTTTGAATTGATTTTAGAATGAATTAATTTTAGAATGCATTTCAATTAATTGATTGTGATTTTTTGTAACTGTGTTACTTTTATTGTTGTTAGCTGCTCTGAGCCAGGCTTCGGCTGGGGAGGGTGGGATATAAATAAAATTAATTATTATTATTATTATTATTATTATTATTATTATTATTATTATGTTTTTCTGATGATCAAGGACATGAGGTTCAGACCTCCCCTCAGCAATCTGCCTCTGTCCCCTAAACATTTCCAGCCTCACTTACTGGACAATTGAAAGGAGCTATTATTGCTACATAGTCTTCAGACTTACAGTTGCGGCTACCTACAGAGAAATTTGTTAAACCTAAGAAGGCTGCCCCTTCCTCACTGCAGAGAGCTCAGGTTGGTTTGGACATAGGGGATTCCCCTAACACATTCACCTCCATAGCTGATGACGAGAATGAGGATTTTCCCTTGCCTTCCTCCCCAACCCTTTTTCAACCCTTGCTGTGATTTACAAAAAAGGGCCTTCTCTAGCTCTTTCTTCAGACGTTAAACCTGATATTTTTATTAAACCACAATAACCCAAACATCCTCCCCTTTACGTCTCCCCTGCTGGGCAATGCCATGTTGAAACAGAAGCAGCCAGAAACAACCCGGGATCTTGCTGTAATTGGCACAAGTTGACTCTTCCTCTCTTCAACACACACCATGGAATTGAAGGCATAAACACATTAGCTTTGACATGCTTTGGTAAGAGAACAGGATGAAACCGCTCAGAGACATCCTCTTGGTGACGTTCTCATCTATGTTATAAACAGAACCCCAAATGACACTCTACCTCTCCCAGCCTTGCAGAGATCACACACACACACACACACACACACACTCAAGCAGAGTTCCCAGAGTTAACTGATAATCAGCTAAATTAATTGATTCACCCTTGCAAACATCACTCTCTCTCTCCAAATTGCTATGTGTCTCTATCAACTTAAATTACAATCATCCTGATGGATTTTCATGACAAACCTAGACAGCATCTTAAAAAGTAGAGATAATACCTTGCCAACAAAGGTCCGTATAGTAAAAGCTATGGTTTTCCCAGTAGTGATGTATGGAAGTGAAAGCTGGACCATAAAGAAGGCTGATCGCCGAAGAATTGATGCTTTTGAATTATGGTGCTGGAGGGACTCTTGAGAGTCCCATGGACTGCAAGAAGATCAAACCTCTCCATTCTGAAGAAAATCAGCCTTGAGTAGTCACTGGAAGGACAGATCGTGAAGCTGAGGCTCCAATACTTTGGCCACCTCATGAGAAGAGAAGACTCCCTGGAAAAGACCCTGATGTTGGGAAAGATGGAAGGCACAAGGAGAAGGGGACGACAGAGGACGAGATGGTTGGGTAGTGTTCTCGAAGCTACGAACATGAGTTTGACCAAACTGCGGGAGGCAGTGGAAGACAGGAGTGCCTGGCGTGCTCTGGTCCATGGGGGCACGAAGAGTCGGACACGACTAAATGACTAAACAACAACAACAAGCTGCAATGGGAGTCAATGATGATGGAAAACTGGGATATAAACACGAGTGATGTTTGAAACTCCTTGCTTATTGATCTCAGGCAGGTGCCGTCGCTATGTTTCTATAGATGACTGCTGAAAGCTTGTTTTTGTTTTTAATTTCAGCTTGCCTGCCCATATGTATATAATTCACCAAACGCAACCATCAGTGCTTTTTCTTTCATCCAGCCACTCAAAAGGGTGTGCATGGTTCCAGTACATATGTTTCGACTGGATAAGAGGAGACCGAGAGGAGTTATGATAGCCATCTTCCAATATTCACAGGCCTGTCACAGGCCTGCTCCGGAGGGTAGGACTCGAACCAATGGATTCAAGTTACAAGAAAGGAGATTCTGACTAAACACCAGGAAGAACTTCATGGTGGTAAGAGCTGTTCTGACAGTGGAATGGACTCCTTTGGAAGGTGGTGGACTCTCCTTCATCTGAAGTTTTTAAGCGGAGGTTGGATGACCACCTGTCAGGGATGCCTTAGTGGAGATTCCTGCACTGCAGGGGGCTGGACAAGATGACCCTTAGTGCCCCTTCCAACTCTACAATTCTATGATTCTGAATGCCAGTTTATGGACATTTAATCCATGAAAAGGCAGGTCATTCTCTAGCTGGTTGAAAACCACGATTTAAAGCATTTTAGTTCATGCATTCTGTACAAGGACATATTGTTTTGAAGATGCACGGCTCCTCTGCATTCAGCAGGGGCACTATAATCTAAAAGAGCACATCGGAGAGCAGATACTGAATTAGTTCCTCGTTTTTCGGTTAAACCTGTGGGGTTTACACACAGACACATTGTCATCACTCAGACTCTCGCCACATGTAGGTTTTAAACATGGTGTGCAATTTATGGGAACAGATGCCCCACGCAGTCTAGGTCACATTCGCACATGGTCACTCATAAATCCCTTCAACCTCACTCGCACACTAAGCTGCAATTCCATAAAAAATCCACACTTCCATACTATCTTAAATGTAGCTCCAAATATATGGAGATACACTTGTTGAACCAGGAACTGCAACAGAACATCTAGGGGTTGCAAATAATAGTGAGAAGCCTAAGATCTAGGAGATGAGGATCAAGTCAACCAGTGCTGATGTTCATAAAGACTGTATTCTTCAGGCATTCCTTACTAAGAAAGGGTAGACATCTGTTTGTCCCCCCTTGTCTTGCTTTCCTGAACATGCATTCTGATTCTGATTCTCATTCAATTTTATTTTTTGTTTATTTTATTTTAGTTTGTTTGTTTGCTTTGTCCATGTGCACACAAGGAGAGAGACTTAAATGAGTGCAGGAGCTGCATTGGTTTTGGACGTCAACAAGAAAACTACAATACCTGCTCTTACCATGTTTCAATGTTATCTCTAAGTCCTGCTTCAATAATATTGCTGCTGTTGTTTAATGAATCCCTTTTCACATAAACCTCAGGGCAATTTACAATCTTCTTGAATTGTCGTATGTGTTATGTATTTCCTACCCACCCTTTCAAGACTCATCATAATACTGGGGGAAATAAAATGTTGTCCTCCAGCTGTTCAGAGCTATAATAGCTCTACAAAAATGCAAAATAATAGAGGGGAGGATGGGTTTACCCTCCCTCTCCTTCCACCCTTAGAGCTAGCCCAACACTCTTCCTGAAATGCTAGTTTTCCAGATGCAAGACATTTTGTGTTTCTTTTACAAGAGGCAATATCCCAACATTGAATCCTTGCTCTCAGAGTTTGAGGGGGCATGGCCCATCAATACACACAACAAGTGCTACTGCCCATGGTATGGCTTCATCTCTGATGACTCATGACAGATACAAGTCATCCCTCGATATTACAGTATGAAGGGCACTCCCAGGCATTTTGTCCACTCACTTTCTGGAAGGCACCTACATGAGGCTGTCATCAAACTGCTATTCCTCTGCTTCTCTGGAGAGCTCAGATAACTCTAACTTTGGAGAAGGAGGTGCAGCGTCAGTACAGGGGCAGTTCTAGGTGTGTGGAGGCACACAGAATGCCCACCCTCAGGTTGACAGGCCCTCCAAGGCAATTTGCGTGGGGCAGAGAATATCATTCCCATTTCCCTTCCATCTCCTTTCCACCCCTTTGTCCTCTTCAAGTTCACTTTCCAGGAACAGGCAGGTGTCTTGGACCTCTCTGTGAATGACAGTGTCACGACCCTGGAGTCAGATTCCTATTCACCTGGGGATGAGATTAGGGATGCAGAGTGGAAGATGGAGTTGGCCTGAGGGAAAAGTCCCAGAAACTCCTATCAAACCATAAGCATTTTATTTTTACTTTTCAGGTTTGGCATTGCCTTCCTCTGACTCAGAAAGCTCGAGATCGAAAGCCCAACGGCAATCAGAGTCTCCCTCACTATGCCACAATACAGTATATGACAGCTAAAGCTGGCTAGGGCCCCTTTAAACGATGAGGCTCATCTCAGGAAGTGAGGAGCTGGCTACTGAGATGGAGCTCCCATTTAGGGGTCTGTCTTGAGGATGGCTGCTGCTGAAGCAACATCTGAGCCTTGCTCTCCTTAAGTATTCAGCCTGAGCCCTGAATGGAGCTGTCCAGGGTACTGCTGCCTCAGCTGAGGTACAGCTCAACTTTTTTGGGGGTGGTTTAAAAATGAAGGCACTACTATAAAATGAGCTGCTTTGGAGCACAGTCCACAGATATCCACACAAAATCATACATCCTGAATTGTGGGGAATCTGGTGTAATCGTGCATGTTCCATAGTAGTAGTAGTAGTAGTAGTAGTAATAATAATAATAATAATAATAATAATAATAATAATAATAATTTATTTATACCCCACCCATCTGGCTGGGCTTCCCCAGCCACTCTGGACAGCTTCCAACAAAATATTAAAATACAGTAATGCATCAAACATTAAAAGCTTCCCTAAACAGGGCTGCCTTCAGATGTCTTCTAAAAGTCTGGTAGTTGTTCTCTTTGACATCTGGTGGGAGGGCGTTCCATGTAACTTGGCTTCTCGCAGTGAGGGAACTGCCAGAAGGCCCTCGGTGCTGGACCTCAGTAGAACAATGGGGGTGGAGACGCTCCTTCAGATATACTGGACCAAGGCCACATCAATAGCCCCCAGTCTGGAAGCACCATAAGCAGTGGAGGAGTGTCGATTAGGGCAAGAGAGGCACTGCCCTCTCAACCTCAGCCTGTCTACCAGTCCCTACCTGCCTGCCTTCTTAATTCCAACTAACCCAGGGGGTAGCACTGCCTATCAGTTTCCTCCTCCTTAGCCTCAGTGTTGCACCGGAAGAACTCGGGCGGGATCAGTATGGGGACAGAACTAGTTGACTATGCTTGTCATTGGCTCTGGCGCCACCTACTGTTGGCCTCCCTGCCTGCTGCTCCACCAGTCGCAATGGGCACCAGCCACCACAGACTCAACACTATTGGAAGTCAGCCAAGCATCTCAGCAAAGACACCAGTCCTTTTTGGCTGTATCTGTCCCCGTGATCAAAATCACACAAACAGAAAATGGGAAGGTGATCCTGAAGAGTTCTAAACTATGAGGGAGAGTACGTATATAGAGCAGACCCCTCACTTCAGTGCTTTGGCTCCAAGCATAGATGGTGAGAGCTGGATCATAAAGAAGGCTGATCGCCGAAGAATTGATGCTTTTGAATTATGGTGCTGGAGGAGACTCTTGAGAGTCCCATGGACTGCAAGAAGATCAAACCAATCCGTTCTTAAGGAAATCAGCCCTGAGTGCTCACTGGAAGGACAGATTGTGAAGCTGAGGCTCCAATACTTTGGCCACCTCATGAGAAGAGAAGACTCCCTGGAAAAGACCCTGGTGTTGGGAAAGATGGAGGGCACAAGGAGAAGGGGATGACAGAGGACAAGATGGTTGGACAGTGTTCTCGAAGCTACAAACATGAGTCTGACCAAACTGCGGGAGGCAGTGGAAGACAGGAGTGCCTGGCGTGCTCTGGTCCATGGGGTCACGAAGAGTCGGACACGACTAAACGACTAAACAACAACATAGATGGTGGAGGTATCAAGAGACACAGTTCTGGGGTCGGGGCAGTCAGCACGACCCCATTCTGCACAATTAAAATCTGTAAGTTCAGGATGAATGAATGGGACATCATTGCCCAGGATGAAACTAGGAAGCTGCCTTAATCTGAGTCGCACCATCAATTCACTTAGCTTAGCATTGTCCACACTGACTGGCAGCAGTTCTCTGGGGTTTCAGGCAGCCCTACCTGGAGATGCCAGTGATTGAATTGGGACCTTCTGCATTCAAAGCAGCTGCTCCACCACTGAGCTACAACCCTTAAAGTGAGCATTTCTTTCTCTCGGTTCAGTGAGATGAGCATGTGTGAATCTTCACCTCTAATAAGAATAACAGTAATAATAATATTAGGTTCCTGTTTGCTAGCCACACTTGCATTTGTTCTCCCAGCTGCTCGGGGAGTTTCGGCTTCTTTATCTGATGACATCCCTCAGGCTATTAATTTCATAAAAAGATCATTGTTCTTCCAGATGATCTTTACAGAAACATGTCCCTGGAGGACGGAAACATTTAGTTAATAATTTAACACTGCGCTGTCTGCAGATTTTCTCTCTCTCTCGCTCTCCTCCTTCCACACACCCCCAACCCAAAATGCGATCGATGAGGCAAACAATTGGTTTATTGAATCTCCCGCAGGCTTTTTTTATTTTTCCAAAGACACCAAAAGAGAATGTAAAAAGGATAACTGCTCTTGGAAAATATATACATACACATACATACGTACACGCACATAAATCAATGCAAGTTGCCAAAAATAATTGTTTTATTTTCTAAGGGAACGTTCAAGACACTATCGGATGCGATGACCCATAACACTGGTTTCTGAAGAGTGTGGGGGGCAGCTCGGCATTTATTGACACTTCGCTTCCAGCCTCTGAGGGGGTTTTCTTCTTTCTTTTAATGCTGTTTGCAAGTGAAATGCTTATAGCTCATGATTCCATTTTAAAACTTCTGTATTATTTGTAGATGATGGCTGGGAAAAGGTTGGCCACCCCCACAGAATTAACAATGAACTCCAGAAAACCCTATGGACTGATGGGAGAGGTCCAGCTGCCCTGGGAAGCACCAGGAGGTCTTGCTCTACCACTAATGGCAAGCTAAGTTATACTCTGAGCAGAAAATTAATTAATTAATTAATTAAATTTCATAACATTTGTACACCTCTTAACCTAAGTTAGTCATGCCCATTAAGTTCAATGGTTCTTCTCTCAGCAAGACACAGGATACTCTCTCATTCTCTCTCTCTCATCTATCTATCTATCATCTATCTATCTATCTATCTATCTATCTATCTATCATCTATCTATCTATCTATCTATCTATCTATCTATCTATCATCTCTATCTATCTATCTATCTATCTATCTATCTATCTATCTATCATCTATCTCTATCTATCTCTATCTATCTATCTATCTATCTATCTATCATCTATCTATCATCTATCTATCTCATCTTTCTTTCTTTCTATCATCTATCTGTTTATTTTCTAATAACAATATTATTATTATAGGCTTTGGAGAACTGACTGCTTTTAAGGAAAGGGCTTTTAACAGTGCTGCATTTATTAGCTGTTTTCATGCCATCGTAGTTTTATTACTTCACACACACACAAACACAGCTTTTTCCTATAAAAAAATTTAGGGGTACTCTCATTTTCCTACTCATATTGAAATATTGCTCCTCAATGAGGCCAAACTCATTGTTTTAATTTCCGTGGATCACCTTGAGTCCCAATTCTGAGAGAATGGTGGGACATAAATAACTATTACTGATATTACCATAACTACTACTACTACCCATAACGTGGTTCTCTGACTGATGTGCAACAGAAGTTTAAAACAAATGGCAAACATCTAAAATAATAATAATGCAATTTAAAAAATCTACAATAAAATCTGAACATACTTAAAAAAAAAACCCTGCAACAACACTCAAATTCATTTAAATCACACTGAGAGCTCAACAGTCACAATAACCAACCATTTCTATCCCGACTCTAATCTACAGAGCAAGGGGACTATTCAATTAACCTGCCGCAATGTGGCTGCTTAGAAATGTACAAAGCGGTCTTCGAGAAAATAGTCAGGGCTTGGTAGTTAGGTCTTTGGACCATCTGGCTCAGTAATTTCTATTCCGGCTGATAGCATCTCTCTTCCCAGCCCTTCCTAGAGGTGCTGGGGATTGAACCTGGGACCCTCTCTATTCAAAGCAGGTCCTCTACCACTCAGCCACGCTCCTCCCCTTAAGACAGGGGTCGGCAAACTACGGCCCAGGGACCAGATGCGGCCCACCAGGCTCATAAATCCGGCCTGTGGACCCTGCCACCCGCTTGGTCAATCCCCGCATTGAGCTAAACTGGTGTGGCGCGGCATTTCCTTGAAAAGAAGCCGCAGACACCTCGCTGCGTGGGGACTGACTTCTGTGACACTGGCACAGCTTCGGATTGGCTGCGGGAAGCTCCTGCAGCCAATCCAAAGCTCTGGATGCCTCTGGGCGGGTAGGGATGCCGGCGTGGCCTCAGATTGGCTACAGAAAGTTCCTTTAGCCAATCAGAAGCCTTGCCGTTCATGCGCTGAGGTAAACCTGGCATGGATGGAGAGGCCGGCAGGTCTGGGCCGCACCATGGGCATCGTGATGGGTGCGTCGCGGGGCTTCAGTCAGAGCTTGGCGCACCTCCTGGCCCCATGCCTGGCGCCCGGCTTGGCGCTGCTGCTGGTGGTGCGCTCGGTGGCTGCGCTGGAACAGCTGGAAGGTGAGCTGCACACCACCTGCCTGGCACTCTGCATGCGCAGCCTGCCCGCTGACCTGGCCTCGGATGACGGGCCACAGTGCGTGGTGCATGCCACCTGGGAGCTCCGCGGGGACGGGCCAATGGAGTGGCTGTTGCTCATCCACAATGCCAGTGAACAAGCGGCACTCTCCACATGCTCCTGAGCATGGGGAGAGTGCATTCCTTCTCCAGGTCTGGAGGCAGCTGCGGGACTGGCTTGCAGGGTACAGTGGTACCTCGGGTTAAGTACTTAATTTGTTCCGGAGGTCTGTACTTAACCAGAAACTGTTCTTAACCTGAAGCACCACGTTAGCTAATGGGGTCTCCTGCTGCTGCTGTGCCACTGGAGTCCGATTTCTGTTCTCATCCTGAAGCAAAGTTCTTAACCTGAAGCACTATTTCTGGGTTAGCGGAGTCTGTAACCTGAAGCGTACATAACCTGAAGCGTGTGCAACCTGAGGTACCACTGTATTTATATTTTTCAAAATATAGTCCGGCCTCCAAAACACCCACCCACCCCACTCACATATGAAAACGAAGACCACCACAGCCAACCACAAATGAACAAGCACACCCTAGGCCAACCCCAACCTCTCTCACCACCAAAGGAACACAAGTGAACAGCAGAGAACCTGCACAAGCAATGCTGACACAAAACCCCACATATATTAAGTAAAATAGAAACATTGCCACCCAACCCCCATCTCCACTCATCTTTCCCCCCTCCACCTCTTTCCCCCTATTCTTCCTAACGTCTCAACAAAGGAAATGGATTTGTAAAAAAGTTACAGGGAGGGGAGAAAAACGAGAGAGAGACATTGCTCATACTTTTATAAATCAAGAAAATCTTTAATAAAAATACATTAAAAAAATAATAATCCGGCCCCCCACAAGGTCTGAGGGACAGTGGTCCAGCCCCCGATGAAAAAGTTTGCTGACTCCTAGCTTCAGATATGGGAACATAGGAAGCTACTGAGCCAAACTCATCAATTCTCAGTATCTTAGTATTGTCTACACTGAGTGGCAGCAGCTATCCAGAGTTTCAGGTGAGAGCTTTCCCCAGGCCTACCTGGAGATGTCGGGGATTGAACCTGGGACCTTCTGCATGCGAAGCAGATGCTCTACCACTGATCTGCAGCCTGGACCCCTAAGTGGCTTATTTAGCATCCATGTCTGAGCCAAGTCTGATGGTCTGCGAGGGGAAACTAGACAACTGGAAAAAGAGGTTGCCAAAGTTCCTAGGGAAGTTCCTCCTGGATTGACTCTTTGATCTAGGAAGGCATCAAAGTGCTTAGACCAAAGTTGGGAAACCTGTGGCCTTTCAGATATTACTGAATTACAACTCCAAACAGCTCTTTGTTGGCTTTGCTAGCTGGCCTGTTGAGAGATGGAGTTTAAACAACATCTGGAGGACCACAAACTCCTTGCCATTGGTCTACTTTTTTAAAATGCACATTGGTCATTTAGAGCCCATTCTTGGACGCTTAAGTCCAGTCAAAAGTGACTATGGGGTTGTGGTGCTCATCTCACTTTCAGGCCGAGGCAGCCGGCATTTGTCCACAGACAGCTTTCTGGATCATGTGGCCAGCATGACTAAACTGCTTCTGGCACAACAGGACACCGTGATGGAAACCAGAGTGCATGGAAATGCCGTTTACCTTCCCGCCGCAGTGGTACCTATTTATCTACTTGCATTGGCATGCTTTCAAAACTGCTAGGTTGGCAGGAACTGGGACAGAGCAACGGGAGTTCACCCTGTCACGGGGATTCGAACTGCCAACCTTCCGATCACTTTTACCTTACTCGGTATGTGTGGAACTGGCCCCCAAAATCCAACACAATTTCCAATTCCTTGGAGATTGTTTTCACCTTGACTAGGGACTCCCTTCAAAAACGTCAAAATTCAGGAACAACTCTAGTTCCATGACTTATCAGCTTTATACTTGCAGGAGATTTAGAATAATGGAATTGCAGAGTTGGGGGTGAACCCAAGGGTCATCTAGTCTGACCCCCTACAATGCAGGAATCACAGCTAAAGAATCCCTGACAGATGGCCACCCAACATCCATTTAATGGAGGTTTTCCCAAGGCTGGTGTGAAGCCTAGATTAAGTACTGACACCCACATTCCACACACGTGTGCATTAACACCCCCTCCCCCCACTAAAAAAATATATTTTTCTTCTAGAGCAAGGGTCGCCAACACATTGCCCGTGGGCACCAGCGAAACCACTAGTTAGGAGGCTACCTTTAAGAGCTAAAGCCCTCCTAAACTGTCTTGCATGATAAACATATGAAACAAACTTCAGAACGTTATAGAATATGACACTTCACTCTCATATTGCTTCCCCCCCCCAAGTCTATTTCAAAATAATAATAATAAATAAACAAATAAACAAATCCTCCATTCTGATTGTGGCATAGTCTCACTCTGAGTGTCAATCTGCTGCATCCTTTTCTCACTCCTGCCTTTTTGAACAGCACACAAATCATCCCAGGGCTAAAGGATGTGAGCAGCACCACTCAATCTGACACAAACCACACTGGTGTGTACGCACACACACAGAGAGAGAGAGAGAGAGAGAGAGAGAGAGAGAAACACACACACAGAAACACACACACACACACACACACACACACACACACACACACACACACACACACACACACACACACACACACACGGCATCCCAAGCACAACAACCTCTCGCTATTGCTCTTTTTTTTTTGAAGACAACTTCTTTAATTCCACCGATCCTGGCCAGGCTGCTGCATTAATGATTGAGGCATTGCGTTACACACCTGATCACATTCAGCCAAAGCACCGCAGCACATTTTCTGATGCGTCGCAGCCTCTGAATAATTTAATTGCCTGAGCTGCGGACTGAAATTTATTAATGGTGTTGCCGTTGCAACCTTGGTGTTTATTTATGCAGGGTACAATCCAGCCAGAGTTAAGCACCTTAAAGCCCGATGTTTCGTTTCGAAGGGGGGGGGATGGAAAGAGAGAAAGACGTGCAGACAATCTAGCTTTTTCCCGTTGTTGCATTTGTAGTCCAACTTTTGCCCAGGGAGCATAAAATAGGGGGCATGGTTCCTTGCTTGCCCAGTGCCCATCTCCTCAACAACCCTGTGAGGTAGGTGAGGATGAGAGACTGACTGATCAAGTGTGGATTTGAACCCAGGTCTCCCACATCCATGTCCGACACACTAACCACTGTAGCACTCGAACCACTACCTTTCTGTTTTTAAGCACAGCTGGTGCCAGTGATAAGCAGGGTTGGGGAGTTCCTAAGAATTCAACATGTTCGGGGTACAAAAGAGCAGAAGTGCCCAATAGGTGTTTAAAAGGCCTCAGAGAAAGGAATGGTATTCAAGGATAGACAGATGGACAGACAGTGAGATATATATACACAAACTGGTCTCCAATTTCCAGAACGATATATTGAATTATCCTCCCACCCTGAATATACACCCAAGTCTCTGTGAAAATAGCCAGAATTTGCTGGTTGTGATATTGAGGGACTTTCCCCTTCTCTCTTTTTCTTTTTGCACAATTAAATGTCACTTTCAGACAAGCTGTTGATCAAGCTTTCATCCTAATTTGTTTATGGGGATATCAGATGATGTTGACTATTCATTGAGCACCCACACTGACCTGTTTTCAGGGACGTTAGATGACGTGGCATTAAGCAAGCGTTGTCTCACACTTTCTAGAAAACTGTTTGCAAAAGCAGCTTCATAGCTCAAGAGTGCCAAAATCAACATGCATTGTGCTACCTGGAAATAACCCCAGAAAGCCAGGGCCCAATCTGAATGAAACACAGGGCCTTCTTAAACTATCAATTCTCACCTGTTGCTCTACGTTGCTCTAAGTTAGAATTCATGTATATAATGGGTAAAAAAGCTTTATATGGTAAGAAAAGAAGACATGGAAGGTGTTCAGTGCCTCTCATGCTTCATTCTAAATCATAGTTGTGGAGTCCCCTGCAAGCACCCCCATGGCTTCGTACCCAGTGAGACAGAACCAATTGTGCTGACCTTTAAAGCCCTAAACGGCCTTGGTCCTGTATACCAGAAGGAGCATCTCCACCCCCACCGTTCTGCCCGGACACTGAGGTCCAGCGCTGAGGGCCTTCTGGTGGTTCCCTCACTGCAAGAAGTGAGGTTACAGGGAACCAGGCAGAGGGCCTTCTCGGTAGTGGCGCCTGCCCTGTGGAACACCCTACCACCAGATTTCAAGGAAATAAACAACTACCTGACTTTTAGAAGACACCTGAAGGCAGCCCTGTTTAGGGAAGCTTTTAATGTTTGATGTTTTGTTGCACTCTTATTATTATTAATCTGTTGGGAGCTTCCCAGAGTGGCTGGGGAAACCCAGCTAGATGAGCGGGGTATAAATGAATGAATGAATGAATGAATCATCATCATCATCATGCTTCCCTACATCCACCTCTGCCCCATTCCTCAAAGTTTAGGAAGCATCTCTAGGTGAGAAGAGTACAACCCTTACCCCAGATAGGCTGCATACACAATGCACATTTAAAGTACATGACATCCCCAAAGAATGCTGGGATATGTAGTTTGTTAAGGGTGCTGGGAATTGCAGCTGTGTGTGTGTGTGTTTGGGGGGAGGGTTAAACTACAGTTCCTAGGATTATTATTTTATTTTGGGGGTGGAATCCATGCGCTTTAAAGGCAGCTTTAAAGTTAGGCGTATTTGCAGCCCCCGACCAGCAAAGGACAGTGCGCTCAGGAAGCGCAGGCTGCCAACTTTGACTATCTCAATGTGCGAGAGCTGCCTTTCTCGCTGGGGAAGGGAACGCTGAACGTTCAAGGGGTTCATTTATGCAAAAAGGAAAACAAGGGGCAGCCACATGAAAGCCTGTTTGGGCTCCGTTTCCAAGGCAAAAACTGAGAGAGGCTTCAGTGTGCGTCGGCGGTCTGAGCCAGCAGCGAAGCAAATGACCCACAGAAGGTGAACCTGATGGCCGGTATAAGGGCCTTTTTATATACTTTTGGCTTGGCTTCCCGGCTGCCAGCGATATAATGTAACATAGCCGCGCTCCTCACAGAAATAATAATAAACTCTCACCAAAAACAAAAAAGGATATTTGGTTATGATACATCCCTCAGGTATATGGGGGTCTAAAACCAGAGACTGCATTAATGGTCTGTATTAGGGATTCTTTGGCCGTGGTCCACGGAGCAGTCAGCCCCACTGAAAGCAGCGGGATCAAGGATTTATTTACTTAATTCGGGGTGTGTGTGTGGCGGGGGGAGGGGGACAACCTCGGTTCTCCTTACAAAGCTCAAAGCAGCTTACATTATCACTTTGACATGAAACTAGGAGACTAAAAAAGCATTTCCTTTTTAAAACACACACACACACACACACACACACACACACAAAATAAAACACCACTCAATACGTTCACTTAAAGCCTGCAGATTGTTATTTTTTTAAAGCATTTTCATTCAACATTGTTTGAAGGCAGCCAGATAAGACCAGATAGGATCTCTAAGGAAAGAAATCAACCTCAGAGAAGGCCCAGCTGCATGGCTCAGTCCTTGCTGAGGTGGGCTGTACTATTTATATTACGATATCTCAATGGAGTGAAAGCTCTTTCCCACACACACCCCACTTGCAGAAAAAAATGGAATCTTCTTCCTGACATTCTAGCCTTCTATATGCAGGGAGTATGTACTGTTGTCCCCTTGGCATTGAGAGCATTCAGTCGTGTTATTATCATCAATATATTCAGTTTTACGCCTCTAAACTATATATTTGTGTAAGTGTTAGTTGGAGAACTGCATCACAAAAGCTGGATAAGTGTGGGTTTTGAAGGATGGCTTTATTTTGTTTCTCATATTGTTCAGAAAGTCCAAATTTGATAGAGTTGGCTTTTAATGCAATCAAATTTATCCCCCATATCGACATCCAGTTTGCATGTTTGCATTGTTCTGCCTTTTGTGGAGGGAAGTTCATTTTTTAATGTACATTTTAATGCACATTGATTTATTTCATAAAACCTATACACTGCTTGATTTTAAAGAAACCACACACAATAAAATCGAGAAAAATCCACAACCATACTTTAAAACATACAAAAGTTAGAAACAGATCAAAATTACAT